ATGATAATAATAATAATATTAATGATATTAATGAAAATAATATTAATGAAAATAATAATGATAATAATAATAATAATAATGATAATAATATTAATAATATTAATAATAATAATAATTCAAAAGTTAAAAGTTTAATTATTGGATCATCTATTACAATAAGTAATTTAGAAGAATTTATTAAAAAACAAATTAAAATATTACCAAAATATCAATCACAAAGTTTAGAATGTATTTTACATCAAACAAAATATTTTGCATCTACACCTATTAGAAATGCAGCATGTTTAGCAGGTAATATTATAACTGCTAGTCCTGCAAGTGATTTAAATCCATTATGGGTTGCATTGGATTGTAATTTAAAAATTATGCAAATGGATGGTCATGTTAAAACTATTCCATTTAAGGAATTTTTTACTGGATATAGACAAGTACAATTAAAAAAGAGTGAATTATTAATACATTTAGAAATACCATTACCACAATTAGATAATAATAATAATACAATACAATTAGTTAAATCATTTAAACAATCTAAAAGAAGAGAAGATGATATTGCCATTGTTACATCTGCTATGAAAATTAAATTATTTAAAAATAATAATTTAAATAATATAAATAATAATAATTTAAATAATATTAATAATAATAATTCTAATTCTAATAATAATAATATAAATAATAATAATATAAATAATAAATATTATATTCAAGATATAAAATTAGTATATGGTGGTATGAATGCATATACAGTATCAGCAGAAAAGACACGTCAATATTTAATAGGTAAAGAATTAAATGATGAAATATTTAATGAATCAATTGAATATTTAATTAAAGATTTACCATTAGCTTCAAATGCACCTGGTGGAATGATTGAATATAGAAAAACACTTTCATTATCTTTTTATTATAAATTTTATTTATTTTTATTAAAAGAATTAAAAATAAGAGAATTAAATCAAGATGAAGAATCAGTTTTATTAAATCATCATTACATTCCAAGAATATATCCAAAAGGTGAACAATTTTATTCAAATACAATTGAAATTGGACAATCTATTGGAAAATCAATTTTACATCAATCATCAAATATTCAAGTAACAGGTGAAGCTAAATATGTAGATGATATACAACCTATATATGGACAATTATATGCAGCATTAGTACAATCAAGTAAACCATTAGCATTAATTAAATCAATTTCATATGATAAAGCATTATCAATGAAAGGTGTAATTGGTTATGTTGATTATAGAGATGTTAAAGGACATAATAGAGTTGGTGCTGTTATACCTGATGATGAAGAATTATTCATTTCATTGAAAACTACTTGTATTGG